AAAAAAAGACCGTACCCTTTTATGTAATGATGTTTACTTTGAATTTATATTAGTTCACACAAACACTCCATCCATGCTTTTGTTCCGGCCCTCCGGTCCAGTTTAAGAACCCTTTGTGGCCCTCGAGTCAAAAAGTTTGCCCACCCCTGATCTAGGACATAGTGCATCTGACTGGGCTCAGACTCCCATGCGCTTTGGTGCTGTTTTCAAAACAGCGACTGCAGCTGCACGCACACGCCTGTCCACGCAGAGCTTTCCCACGCACCGGGGCCCCAGCACCAGCCTCTCATCGGTCAGCTACTCTCAGGCCCTCCCCTCCAGGCTGCACTGTTACAATCTCAGCAACACGGCGCCCAGTGGACCACACTCCCTCAGAGCAGGCCTCCCTCGGCCTGCTAGCCAGACCCGGTGCGCTGCACGTGGCAGGGACCTGTAAGGGTCCCTGTTAACGTTAAAATACAGAGAAGTGAAAGGACAAAGTAAGGGTCAGTCCTAAGCCGTCCTGCTCCTCCTGAAGCCGCATCACCTTCACAAAACGGGAGTTTGTCCTCAGAAGCTTGCGGACCACCAGCAGCAGGAAGTCCATTTCCTCGGTCCGCTCGTGCACCTGCAAGAGACGCCCGGCACTGAGGGAGGGGAGGGGCCGGCAGGGAGCCAGCGGCTCTGCTGGGTCAGTCCCGCCTAAGAGAATCCCACGGGCATTTGGGTAGAGTGATGTTTAGCATCCTTGGCCCTGCCCACTCAATGCCAACAGTGCCCAGGCCACGGTTACAGCCAACCCCCCACCTGGCCCCAGCACGGAGAACCACGGGGCCACGCCCATGCCTCTGCAGGTCACAAGTGAACTACTGCTCAGTGGTGAGTGCCGGATGGCAGCGGCCGGGGCAGCAGTGGCTCGTGCACTGCAGGACCAATGACCGGAGGCTGGCCCTGAAGACGGCGCGCGGCCAGGAGAGCTGCAGAGGCGGGGGCCGCGCCTGCTTCGTGGCCCTCCTCACACAGAGGCCTTCCTGGCCAAGAGCCACCCTGAGGGCCTGGAGACACCCTGGCCTGCCCACCCCAGCACCAGCTGACAGCAAAGGGACAGGACCTGGGGCTGTTTTCCCATCACTTAGTCAGGACACCTCAACATGCAAGCCGACAGTGACATGCTACTGAGGGGCATTCCTCTGCCAACTGCAGGGAGCAGCCGCTCGCGCCAAAGCAGGTCCCTCCCAGGGCGTGGCACCTCCAGCCCGCTGCACGGTGTGCGGAAGGAGCAGGACAGACACCCGCCGCTGACACTGCGTAACGCTCACACATCATGGCTGGGGACCCAACAACGCCTGGGCAACCCTCATGACGCCCCCAGGCCCCAGAGCATGGCCTCGCACTTCACTGTCTCCCACTTGAGAGAGACAGGAAGCTGCTCCTCACGGAAGCCCCGAGGGCCTCTCCTCCATGAGGTGGGCAGGGCCCTCAGCCTCCCCATGGCAGTTCCCATCCGACCCCGCTGCTCCTGGGCTCCGGGCTGGGCCGAGGCCCACACAGGCATCAGGCCGCCACACCGGCTCCGTGAGCCGTGAGCTGAGACGCAGCAGAGCACAGCGGGGCAGCGCACGCACCTCATCGATGAAGATGTGTGTGAAGGCCACCAGGCTCTTGGCGCTGACGACCTTCTGCAGCAGGACACCGGTCGTCATATAAATGAGCCTGGTGTCCTCCGTGGCCACCTTCTCCAGCCCCACCTAGGTGGGGGAGGAAAGGAGAAAGGGAAAGTTTGCAGGTTTAAATGGCTGCATTTAACTCCAAAACATCCATTTTATCAGGGGGTGATATCATTTTTACATTAAGACAATTATGTATGGAAACATCTACATACAAGAATATAATTAAAAGGTAAAAGTATAAAAGCCCTAAGTCAGAAAATTCTTTTTTCCTATTCAACTGGAAAAAAAATTAAAGTTATTTCCAAGAAATTAGGAGTTTCATTATTTTTTAAATTATGCCACAGTTTAAGCAACTGAACTCATTTTAATCCCACAGAAAATCATCAGATTAGACGGCAGTTCACCGTGCCCAGGAGCACGGTCCTCCCGGGCCCAGCCCACCTGGTAGCCCACCAGGCCTCCCAGCGTCCAGGCGCGCTCCCTGCTGATCCAGCGGGCCATGCTGCTGGCCCCGATCTTGCGCGGCTGGGTGACGGCGATGTGGCAGTAGGCGCCGCGCTGGAGGCAGTGGTCCAGGACGTACTGCGGCAGCTGCGTGCTCTTGCCGCTGCCTGTGGCGCCGTGAATGATCACCACAGAGTTACTTTCTATCAGAGAAATCACCTGCAAGTGAAAACAGGTCTCTCACCATTCCTGCAAAATTAACAGTGACGTGAAAGGACCTAAGAACCAACGCTCCTCTTGAGAAAGCTTCAGGGTGACCTGCCTTCCGTCTTTAGAAGCTACTGAATAGCCACCTGAGCAGCACAAAGGAGCATTTCAACCAGTGTGACCACCACCGGCCACTGTTTCTACAGGAACCAGACCAACTTCCCCCTCTACTTCCCAACCTCTTCATCTAGAAAAACGAAACACCAAGCAGGTTTCTACAGCTCTTGCTAAGTCTAAATTTCAATTATTCTTAAGTTTTTAAGTGATTCTACTGAGAAATATGAAAATCTAGTAAGAAAAACATGGAAACATCGCTATTACTACACTCAGTGGCTTTAAAAGTCCACTTAAGCCGAAACCGGTTTGGCTCAGTGGATAGAGCATCGGCCTGCGGACTGAAAGGTCCCAGGTTCGATTCCGGTCAAGGGCATGTACCTGGGTTGCGGGCACATCCAACATGGAAACATCGCTATTACTACACTCAGTGGCTTTAAAAGTCCACTTAAAACTCTTTAGACACCTGTTTAAGCAGCTTCCACTGCCCACTTACAGGGGCCATGGGCATCTTTAACCCCCGACCCCCGCCAGGCCCTGCGGCCCCCCGCCCCCGGGTTTCTGTGGGCGAGTGCTGGCGTCAGGGAGCACCACTCAGTGTGACTACTGGCCTCTATAGCCTAGCAGTGTGTCTCCTCTGTCAGCGTGTGTGAGTCCATCTAAAGCAGAAAGGAAAGTTCCACCTGGAGCCCTGTGTCTCTCTGTGAGCGCGCTCCCCCGACACACAGTGTGGAACCGTGGGCCGCTGTCCTGGCGGCGAGGTCTGCTCACGGCTGCTTCAGAGGACGACTGGGCAGCAGCCACGTGAGAGAAGAGCAGCGCGGACGCTGAGCAACGCAGCACAGCCCAGGGAGGCCGGGCGCTGGCGGCGGCCACGCGAACACCCTGCCGGCCTCCTCTGCTCAGAGCCTGGCGCACACAGGCACTCGCGGGCTCGACACTCGGACTGTACACCGAAGGGGTTGGGCCCGGCACTATGCACACCGCAAAGTCACACATGACAGGAAGACTCTTACCTCTTCCTTACACCGATTTATAGGCAAATCGGGGTACGTATACGTTGTCTCTGGGATGCACGGGACATTGCTGGACTTAGCCAAAGGTGGCCTTGGACCTGGATTCAGACAAAATGAACACAAAGCTATTTCTTCTCTGAAAGAGACAAGGCAGCCCCAGCCGGTTTGGCTCAGTAAATAGAGCACTGGCCTGCGGACCACAGAGTCCCGGGTTCGATTCTGGCCAAGGGCACGTACTGCGGTTGCAGGCTCCTGGTCAGGGCTCGTGCAGGAGGCAACCAATCGATGTGTTTCTCTCACATCGATGTTTCCCTGTCTTCCCTCTCTTCCACTCTCCCTAAAACTCAAT